AGATTTGTTGTGTTTTCCAGATTTATTTCCTTTTGGTAAAAATGGACAACATGAAACTAGACAGGTCAAACTGCACGATCACGAATTTATTAAATGCCGTTTGCTGTCTAAACACCCGCAATATAGATTAAACATACAATACTTTTTCTTGTTAAATAATGCTAATATTCGTCAATTGAGTCGTGGTATTTACCATAAAATGAATGTAACTAATTTACGAGATCGTTACACAGCTTCGGAATATCTAGGAGCATTGGAGAAACAACTATTAGAATCTAATTTAAACACCATATTTTCCACACTAAGAAATACAGAACAATATTGGCGTAGACCGAGAAGTGATTTAGAGTGTATGACACAACATTACGGACCTGCGACATGGTTTATAACCTTGAGTCCTACTGAATGGTTATGGGATGATTTAGGTGAATACATTCGTGAAGTTAATGGATGGTATAATTCTTCATTAAGTACCAGTATACTCGTTGCTAGAGATCCTGTGTCGACATCCAGATTTCTCGACAATAAGTTACGGGCAATGCTTGATTTTATTTCTTCTAAAGATCAGCCGATCGGAGAAGTAACACATTACTTCTGGCGAAGAGAATATCAGTGTAGAGGTATACAACATTTTCATTTATTAATTTGGGTTAAAGATGCACCGATTATTGGTAAATCTTCTGCCGAAGAAGTCTCTGTATTTATTTTACAACATATGAGCTGTAGAATGCCGAATAAAACCATTTCTCCGTTATTATATAAGCGAGTCGATACTCATCAACGACACAAACATAACGATTATTGTCTTCGTTCCAAAAAAGCTGGACGTAAAGTAACTCGTATATGTCGTTTCGGATTTCCTCGTGCTGTGACGGATACGTTAGTTATGAGAGATGTTGTAAGTTCGATAGCAGGTAGGAAACAATTAAGACATAAGAGTAGGCTTTATGACCTTCCCCGTACGGATGTAGAAGCTAACATAAATGATTATAATCCTATTCTTCTTACTGCATGGGAAGGAAATATGGATATACAATTTATTGGTGAAAAATCATCGTTGCTTACTTGGTATGTTACCAAGTATATGAATAAAGCAGGAAAAAGTGAATTAGCCGAGTCTGTTTTTGATAGTAAAAATAATAAAAATAATAAATCATTGGCAAGCTATCTTTGGAATGTTGCTTTCCGATTTATGAATAATAGAGAATGTGGTGCTCTTGAAGCTGCTGATACATTGCTAAGTATTCCTCTATATGGGACTGATCCATACACGACCATTAGATAGTTAGATGTTAATCAAATACGATATAGAAAAGTCAAGAATCATAAAGAAATTAAAGCTCTTGATGGAGAATCAACAGACATATTTTGTCCATCTATAATAGATAATCATTATCCGCATAGACCGAACGAATTGGAATCGACGTCATTATATGAATTTGCAAAGTGGTACGATATCAGAAAAATCAAACCCCGAGGTAAACGAGTTGAATATTACAAGATGGATAATGGTTATTATGTTTAACGGCGACAGCGTGGATATCTTATTAATCACTATAAAAATGATGTCAACACACGGCCGGAAAGTTATTTCTTTTCATTATTACTTATGTGTCAATCGTGGCGGAAATTAGAAGATCTTAAAAATG